ACCTTAACACAAAAACTGTTAAAAGAGACAAAGAAGGGCACTACATAATTATTAAGGGACCAATTCAAGAATCTCTAGAACATATTCTAACTCATGGAGACTGAACAACAGGTTCCTGAATGAACAAGGGGTCTTTGAAGAAATCAAAAGCAAAATAAAAAAGTTCTGGAAATAAATGAAGATGACAATACAACATATCAAAACTTATGGGATACAGCAAAATCAGTGTTAAGAGGAAAGTTTATAGCAATTGGTACCTATATCAAGATATTGTAAAGGCCCCAAATAAATAAGCCATCAATGCATCTCAAGGACCTAGATAAACAACATCAAACCAAACCCAAAACTAGTAGGAGAAAAGAATTAACTAAACTTAGAAAATTGTGGGGAGCAGCTCGGACTAGACTAAGTTACTGGAATTAAGACTTATTCTATGCATCTGCTCTCCTCTGTGGGGAGCAGCTCGGACTAGACTAAGTTACTGGAATTAGGACTTATTCTGTGCATCTGCTCTCCCACAATATGGCGCTGGGAGAGGAGAAAACAGCTTCCACACAGCTGCCTCCAGTTCAACTAATAAACTGTAGGACTTGCTCCTGATTGGAGAGCAGCGTACTCGGCGTGTGGGCAGCCGAGTTAGGATTGGCGGAGGAGGACTATAAAGGAGGAGAGAGACGGCATGCACCAGGAACATCTATGGGGAACATCTAAGGGAACCCGTGCAGCCCCCGAGAGAACCGGCCGGCGGTGTGCTGCTCCCCTGCGGAAGTGGGGAATGCGGCCAGGGGGAACTGCCCTTCCACGGAGGTGGAAGGGATAGTAGCCAACCCGGGAAGAACCAGCAGCAAACCCGGGGAGGGCCGAGCAGACGAAAGAACAGCGCAGGGTCCTGTGTTGCTCCTCCACGAAGAGGGGGAGCGACAAAAATAGAGGCCAGCACTGTACAGGCCTGCAGTGCCGGCATCCCATATGGACGCTTGTTTCAGTACTGGCTGTTCCACTTCTGATACAGCACTGTGCTAATGGACTGGGAAAGCAGTAAAAGATGGCCCAAGTCTTTGGGGCCCTGCACCTGCATGGGAGACCCAGAAGAAGCTCCTGGCTCCTGGCTTTGGATCCGTGCAGGTCTGGCCGTTGTGACAAAATTTGGGAGTGAACCAGCAGATGGAAGACCTCTTTCTCTCTCTGCCTCTCCTTTTCTGTGTAACTCTGACTTTCAAATAAATAAATAAATCTTAAATAGAAAAAAATTAGAGAATAAATAAAACAAAAAATAGAAAAATTAGCAAAAGGAAAAGCTGGTTCTTTGAAAAAAATAAACAAAATTGATACATCATTGGCCAGCTAACCAAAAAAAGGAGAGAGAAGATCCAAATCAGTAAAATTAGAGATGAAAAAGGAAATGTAACAAAAGACACCACAGAAATAAAAAGAATCATCAGAAATTACTATGAAGAGCTGTATGCCAACAAATTAGAAAACCTGGAAGAAATAGATTCCTGGAAACATACAACCTAACTAAATTGAACCATGAAAATACTGAAAACTAAATAGACCCATAACCAAGACAGAAATTGAATCAGTAATAAAGACTCTCCCAACAAAGAAAAGCCCAGGACCAGATGGCTTCACTGCTGAATTCTACGAGACACTTAAAGAAGAACTAACTGAATTCTTCTCAAGCTATTGAAAACAACTGAAAGGGAGGGAATCCTCCCAAATTCCTTCTATAAAGCCAGCATCACCTTAATTCCTAAACCTGAAAAAGATACAGCAGAGAGAGAATTACAGACCAATTTCCCTGATGAACATAGAAGCAAAAATCCTCAGCAAAAACTAGCAAACCGAATCCAACAACACATCAGGAAGATCATTCACTGCAGCAAGTGGAATTTATCCGAGGTATGCAGGGATGGTTCAACATTCACAAGTCAATCAATGTGATACACATTAACAAACTGAAGAACAAAATCATATGATTATCTCAATAGATGCAGAGAAAGCATTTGATAAAATACAACACCCTTTCATGATGAAAACCTCTAAGCAAATTGGGTATAGATGGAACATTCTTCAACACAATCAAGGCAACTTATGACAAATCCACTGCCAGAGTCCTGTTGAGGTGGGAAAAGTTGAAAGCACTCCCATTGGGATCCAGAACCAGACAAGGGTGCCCATTCTCACCACTGCTATTCAAAATAGTCCTAGAAGTTTTAGCTAGAGCCATTAGGCAAGAAAAAGTAATCAAAGGGATACAAACCAAGAAGGAAGAAGTCAAACTATACCTCTTTGCAGAGTCCAAAAGACTCCACTAAGAGACTACTGGAAGAGTTTGGAAAAGTGGCAGGATATAAAGTCATTACACAAAAATCAACAGCCTTTGTATACACAGACAATGCCATGACTGAGAAAGAACTCCTAAGATCAATCTCATTCAAATAGCTACCAATAAATAAATAAATAAATAAATAACCAAGGATGTCAAAGATCTCCATGATGAGAATTACAAAACATTAAAGAAAAAATAGAAGATGAAAAAAATAGAGAAATCTTCCATGTTCATGGATTGGAAAAATCAATATCATCAAAATGTTCATACTACCGAAAGTGATTTACAGATTCAATGCAATATCAATCAAAATACCAAGGACATTCTTCTCAGATATAGTAAAAATGATGCTGAAGTTCATACGGAAACACAGGAGACCCCAAAAAGCTAAAGAAGTCTTATACAACAAAAACAAAGCCCAAGGCATCACAATACCAGATTTCAAACACACTGCAGGGCAGTTATCATCAAAACAGCTTGGTACTGGTACAAAAACAGCTGGACAGATCAATGGAACAGAATAGTAACACCTGAAATCAACCCACACATCTATAATCAACTTATTTTTGACAAAGGAGCTAAAATCAATCCCTGGATCAAGGATAGTCTCTTCACCACACGGTACTGGGAAAACTGGATCTCCACCTGCAGAAGTATAAAGTAAGATGCCTACCTTACACCTTACACAAAAATCCATTAAAGGTCTGGTGCTATGACACAGCAGGTAAAGCAGCCACCTGCAGTGCCAGCATCCCATATTGGTACCAGTTTGAGTCCCAGCTACTCTACTTCCAATCCAATTCTCTGCTATGGCCTGGGAAAGCAGTAGAAGATGTCCCAAGTCCTTGGGACCCTGTACCCACATGGGAGAACAGGAAGAAGCTCCTAGCTCCTGGCTTCCAATTGGCTCAGCTCCAGCCATTGTGGCCATTTGGAGAATGAACCAGTGGATGCATGATCTCTCTCTCTCTCTGCCTCTCTTCATCTCTGCCTCTCTGTAACTTTCAAATAAATAAAATCTTTTTTTAAAAAATCCACTCAAAATAGATTAAAGACCTAAATCTAGAACCTGATAACCATCAAATTATTAGAGAACAATGGAGAAACCCTGCAAAACATTGGCATAGGCAAAGATTTCTTGGAAAAGACCCCTGAGGCACAAGCAATCTAAGCCAAAATTGATAAATGGCATTACATCAAATTGGGAAGCTTCTGCACTGCAAAAGAAACACTCAGCAAAGTCAAGAGGCAACTGACAGAATGGTAGAAATTACCTGCAAACTATGCAAATGATAATGGAGTAATACCAGAATATATAGAGACCAAGAAACTCAACAACAATAAAACATACAACCCAAGTAAGAAATGGGCAAAGGACTTAAACAGTTATTTTTCAAAAGACAAAATCCAAATGGCCAACAGACATAAAACTCATGAAAAAATGCTCAGGATCACTAGTCACCAGGGAAATGCAAATCAAAACCACAGTGAGGTTTCACCTTATCCCCATAGAATGGCTTTCATATAGAAATCAACAAACAACAAACGCTGGTGAGGATGTGGGGGGAAAAGGTACACCAATCCACTGTTGGAGGGAATGCAAACTGGTAAAACCACTATGGAATTCAGTTTGAAGATATCTCAGAAATCTGAATATAGACCTACCATATGACCCAGCCATCCCACTCCTGGGAATTTACCCAAGGGAAATGAAATCAGCAAAAAAGAGTTATCTGCACACCCATGTTTATTTCAGTTCAATTCACAATAGCTAAGACATAGAATCAACCTAAATGCTTGTCAACTGAAGACTGGATAAAGAAATTTTGAGATATGTACTCTACGAATACTACACAGCAGTAAAAAAAATGAAATCTGGACATTTGCAACAAAATGGATGAATCTGGAAAACATCATACTTAGTGAAATAAGACAGTCCCAAAAGGAAAATATCATATGTTCTCCCTGATCTGTGGTAACTAACAGAGCACCTAAAAGGCAATCTATAGAAGTGATATTGACACTTTGAGATGAGATGATTTTGAACAGCCCTTGTCTTGACTGTTGAGGAACAGATTTTTATTTTACATACTATTTGTTGAACTTATTATAGAGTTAATCTTATGTGTATTAAGTTAACTCAAAATAGATCTTAGTAAAAAAAATAAGAATGGGAATTGGAGGAGGAGGAGGAGGAAGAAGGGTGGGAGTGTGGGTATGGTGGGAAGAATCACTATGTTCCTAAAGTTGTATTTATGAAATGTATGAAGTTTGTATACCTTAAATAAAAGGTTTCTGGAAAAAAAAAAATCAGGAGCTTACATAAACGGAACCTTCCAGATTGGAATATGCATTTATCTTCTCCAAGTAAAAAATGCTTTGAAGAGAGGAATAAAATCTTCCATTCAACAACAACATATTTCAAGTTTCTCAAAATAAAAAGATGGCATTGTGCACTCAGCACACAGCTCACTTTGGGGATTAACACTCCATCAACGGTGGCACATCAATCACCAGATGACCACTCTCCCATGATCGGGCTTCCCACCATATGCCCCAGTTAAGAATTCTCTCTCTCCATCTCACACCATACGATGCAAGGAAATATATTCTGGCATAGTATTCACTTGAAATGAAAAGCAGTATAAAGAAGAAACTGTGGGCTTACATCTCTGGAGGACTTGCTGTAAGTTGTCCTGCATAGTTTCTCTACATTTGGGGAGAGTGTGTTCATTTGTTTCGTGGATCATATTCTTCAGATTTTCAAGAACTCGCATTTCTCGAAGACCGCGTTTTTCCTATTAAAAGAAAATAAATGACTGGTAAATATTGTGTGTTAAGTCTTAACTTTCTGGGATTTCCACCCAGGGTTTGCTTGTTATGTTATTACTTATTACTGAAATTCACATGACCTTCTTCTAATTATTTCATAATAAAGGAGGGCACATGTGGAGGCATTTTCTTTTACTATGAAATGCTCCAAAAGTTGCAATGTGAGTAGCATTTTTATAGCAATATTTAAAAATGGGCAAAATAAATACTAAACCAGGTCTAGATTGCCACACCTTTCATTACAAATAAATCGGGTATTTTTGAACTGATTTTAAATTTCATTTTGTCATTCTTATCACCATGTAATTTCTATTACTGTATACTATATTTTTATCTTATTCCTTTTTCTCCTCAAAATAAAAATGGTGGTAAAAGTAATTATATGTAGATACTTCCCCATACAGAAAAGAATACTGAAGGCCTGAGGTTGCTAACCTCAGAGAGGTCTGCTGGCGGGGCAGACCCTGCCAAGGCACTGGGATAAAGTTTCCTACATTAAATTCTAGAAGGGTTTATAGAACAGTGTGCTTCATGCTGAACAGTTCTTTGCTTTGGGGAGTCTGAACCTTTTTTATTTTTTAAAGATTTTATTTTATTTATTTCAGAGTTACAGAGTGAGGTAGAAACAGAGAAAGAGGTCTTTCATCTGCTGGTTCACTCCCCAGATGGCTGCAACTGCCAGAGCTGCGCCGATCTGAAGCCAGGAGTTTCTTCCGGGTCTCCCGCGGAGGTGCAGGGACTCAAGGGCTTAGGCCATCTTCTACTGCTTTCCCAGGCCAAAGCAGAGAGCTGGATCCAAAGAGGAGCAGCTGGGACTAGAACCGGCGCCCATATGGGATGCCGATGCTTCAGGCCAGGGCTTTAACCCGCTGCGCCGGCCCCGGAGTCTGGATTCTTAAGACAAGTTAGGGAGAGGATGGCTGACTGACCAGCCCCCAGTAAAAAACTTGGGATCCTTGGGTTCAGCACACTTCCTTGATAAGTCAAGTGCATTCAGGGCGACTCCACCAAGCTACTGCTTGGTCTCCTTCAGACTTCTCTCCAAGAGCCTCTCTGCTTGGCTGACTTCGCCTGCATCCTTGTTATGATCACAATCATAGGCTGAGTCTTCTGAGTTCTTCCAGCAAATCACTGAAACCTGGGAGGTGGTCCCGGGGACCCCGACACGACTTCTAGACTCACCATCCTGCTGCCTAATATGAGGGTGGGCTGGACTTAATGACTTTCTCCTAAAGAAAAACATCAACTTTACAGTGGGGAAACCTAGCGAACGTGACCTCAAGCTAGCAAGGCAGGCTCACATCACCAGCGGTGTCATGCCAACAAGCAAATACTCCCTGCCACTAAGGCTCCTTGACTGCTGTGACAGTCTCCCCCAAGCCCCTAAACCCAATCGAATCGTGAGAGAAACATGAGACAAATCCAGCCTAGGGACAGGACATCTGGCCAGGACTCAAGACTATCAAGGCCGTGAAAATCAAACACAGACCAAAGACGACTAGGCATACGTGATAATTAAATGCAACATGATGCCCTGGATTAGATCCTGGAACAGAAACAGGACTGTAATGGAAAAACTGGTGAAATCCAAATGAAGTCTGGTGTTCTATTTCTAGTAATGTACCAATGTCAGTTTCTTAGTAATTACAAACGTGCCATGGTTATACAAGACAATAATGCAAGAAACTGGGGGAGGACTATATGGGAACTCTCTGTACTATCTTTGCAATTATTTTGCAAATCTAAAATTAATATAAAACAATAAGCTCATTAAAAAAATAAGGGTGTTAAAGTAGATTGTGAGACAATAATAAATTAGTCATATTACTGGAGGGTGTGAGTCATTCTTCTGGAGAAATTGTAGCCATTTTCTTACTTTTTGTGATTTTTTTCATCACAAAATTAAAATTAAAAATTACAAACTCATACACAAGTTGGGAGAGAATAATAAAATGAACTGTCAAGTACTCATCACCAAACTTCAATAATTTTCAAGTCATGACTGATCTGTTCCCTCTGTGATACTTCATACATCTCCCTAAATTATTTTGGAGCAAAACCTGGTAAGTATATTATTTCAACTGCAAGTATTTCAATATATGTAAAAGACAAAGACTTTGTTTAAAAAAAAAAGATGCCCAACACATCAATAATTCTTTAACATCATCAAATATCAGTGTAGTGTTCACATTCCCTCAAATGTCTTATCAATGTTCTTTTCACTCTCGAGTTTACTGGAAACAAAATCTAAGATTCGTAAATTCGAATTGGTTAATATGCTTCTTAAATTCTGTTTAATCTGTCACTTTTTCTACCTTTGTACTTTGTTGGAAAAAGCAGGTCATTTGTTCTGCACAGTTTTCCCAGAGTCTTATTTTAATGAATGGATCCCCATGGTGTAATTTAACATATTCCTTTGTCTCTTTTCTTTCCTGTAAATCAGTAGGTAGTTAGAACTAAAGGCTTGATCAGATCCATAGTTTCGTTTTTGGTCTGCAAGTTTGCAGGAGTGGGTTGTGTACTCTCAGCAGAAGGCCTATGGCAATCACCTTCATTTATTAGCAGGAATACTGTGTACGTAGAAACTGTGCCTCACCAATGATTTGGTTACTCTGAAGACAGTTCATGTACAAAAGGCAAAATCAAACAGTGGTTACTTCCCCTTACTTAGCAGTTCTAAAAAACTAGCTGGGTCTCTAGCATAGTTTAAGGGAAATCACCCAGAGCTTTTGTTTGTACACAGCCCTGACTCCGAGACTGAAGCATATTGGAAGCTTTTCATCCCATTACAGCATTCTTCTCATGGATACTCAAGACTGCCCCAGCTTTGTCCCAGGATACAACACTCTCTGATAGCCTCTTTGCTTTCTAGTAGGACCTGACACTCCAGATTGGTCCTGCATAGCTCCTGCACCAGGCGTGGAGGCAGCACGTCTCCAACACCACTGCGATTCAGAGATGAACTTAGAGGCTCAGCACCAGGACTGCTTTCCAGTGGACAAGATTAGGAAACACGCATTTAAAAAAAAAAAAAAAAAAGATGTATCTATTTGAAAGGCAGTTACACACACACACACACACACACACACACACAGAGCGAGCGAGAGAGCGAGAGAGAATCTTCCATCTGCTGGTTCACCCCTTCCAAATGGCCACTGACAGAGCTGCACCAGGCCAAAGTCAGGAGACAGAAACTCCATCTGGGTCTCCCACGTGGGTGGCAAGGGTCCAAAAACCTGGGCCATCTTCTGTTGCTTTCCCAGGCCCACGAGCAGGGAGCTGGACTGGAAGTAGAGCAGCCAGGACTAGAAACCACACTCTGATATAGGATGCTAGCATGCCAGGAAGTGGGTTAACCCGCTGCACCCTGAAGCATGTATTTTTCTAAAAGATCCATCTTGCGCTCACACTGATAAGATTATAAAATTTTTAATTACCTTCCTGTCTCCTTTCTTACCATTTCTCAAAATAACATAATCAACCTCATTTCCCATGCTGCCGATTCAATCAAACAATACCAATATTTTCATCAAAAAAACCAGATTACGGAAAAGTTCGTGGTTTTTAATTTCTTATTTTGAAGGAATATCCCATTAGGAATATATAGTCAAGTCGCTGTGTTTAAAGTTACTTACGGGGTGAGCACTCAGCATGCGGGTTAAGATGCTGCCTGCACACCAGGGTTCAGCTCCTGGTGTGGATTCCTGCTGACGCAGACTCTGGGCAGCAGCAGTGGGTTCCTGCCACCCACTTGGGAGACCTCAACTGTGTCTCAGCTCCAGCTTTGGCCCCAGTACAGCTCTGGCCATGGTAGGCATTTGGGGAGTAAATCAGCAGAAGGGAGCTATCTCTCTCTTTGCCTGTCTCTTTTTCTTTTTCTCTCTCAAATAAATAAATAAATAAATAAGGTACTTAGAACGCTTTCTGAGTAGCAATGTCACCATACAGAAAACACGGGTCTCCTTGGGTGGATATTTGGCCTCGTTGGAGGCCCACATTCCAGCTCCAACTCTAGCTTCCTGCTAATGCGCAACCCTGGGAGAGAACAGACGATGGCCAGATACTTGGGTCCCTGACACGTACATGTCAGACCAGGACTCAGTTCCAGGACTCGGGTCCAGCCCTGGTTGCTGAAGACATAACGGAGTAAACCACTAGATCTAAGATCTCTGTCTCTCTTTGCCTTTCGAATGACAAAAATAAATCAAGTTTTTAAAAAATGTTTCAAAAAGAAACACAGGTTTGCTTCTTTGCATTTTACTTGATTTTTAGGGATTGCTCTTGAAATTTAATGTTATTTTAAATTATGTAAAATATCTACAAAACCATCTCTAAAACAAAGTATATTCTAAGAAGTCTATCCCTGGCCTTTTCATCAATTCTGTGACTTATTCTGTCTTTTTAAGTTTTTAATTCTGTACTGGAGAGGCAGACAGAAAGAGAGGCAGACAGAAAAGCACTCTCATATTAGTTCACTTTCCAAATGTTTACAACAGCCAGGGCTGGAGCTGAGCTGGCAACTCAATCCAGGTCTTCCACACATCACTTATTCATTAGGTAACTTTTTAAGAAGTTATCCAGGGGCCTGCACTGTGGCCTAGTGGGTAAAGCCACCGCCTGCAGTGCTGGCATTCCATATGGGCCCCGGTTGGAGTCCCAGTTGCTCCATTTCCAATCCAGCTCTCTGCTGTGGCCTGGGAAAGCAGTGGAAGATGACTCAAGTCCTAGGGCCCCTGCGCCGTCGTGCCTGGGTCTCTTCGCTTCGGATCAGCACAGCTCCGGTGGTTGAGACCAATTGGGGAGTGAACCAGAGGATGGAAGACCTCTCTCTCTCTCTCTCTGCCTATCCTTCTCTGTGTTAACTCCACCTTTCAAATAAACAAATAAACAACAAAAAAAGAAGTTATCCAATGGGGTCGCTGCGGCATAATGGGTAAAGCCACCGCTTGCAGTGCTGGCATCCCAT